TTTTTTTTTTTTTTTTTTTTTTTTTTTTTTTTTTTTAAATAATGTTGGTCTGATGTTGAGTAGAATTTTACAGCCTTGATATTCCAGTAATGAAAAAAATATTACAGTGTGCAAATAAGTAACTGCCACAAAGAACTGCAGTTACTGATTAGTGACCCTATATGTTCAAACATGAAATTTTCCTTGGTGTTTGAATATTTCCTGGAACATACTTACATATACTTATTATTTGTTGCCCTTATTGGACAGCTCAGCTAAATTTCAGTCTGCAGGAAGTTCATAGACAGGCATACAGTAAGCTGTTCACATTTTTTTATTCTACTTTGCCCATGATGTATGGCTTAGCTGGTTACCACAAAGGAACGTCTGGGAGTTGCATAGGCTGTTTTTTAAAGAGTGTTCCTCTTGTCACTGTTATTGACATGAAATGGTGTGTGTTTCAGCACTTAATTGGAGGCTTAATACGTTTTCAGTGTTCAGCACTCTGCAATACTTAGATTACTTTCACTTTGGCCGTGTAGAGGAAAATGGGAACATTGGAGACCACATGTCATTCTTATATCAATAATAGCTGGAAGGTACTGCACTCAGGTCTTAAAATAAAATGATGACACATGAGACCATTTTGTTTTCTCATCATACCATGCCTTGAACTGTCATAAAATCATGTGTTGTATGTGTATGGGAGATGTTGCAAAAACAATGAGGTTCCTGATCCATGCACTCCTCTATTGATCTTTCTGACACTGGAAGCAGGCAAAAAAATAGGATGCCATACTTCACTGAAGTTCCTCTGGAAGATGAATATAAAAAAGCTTGTATCTTTTTCAGCTAAATCCTTCTGGTTTCTTTGTGAAGTTTTAACACTGGATTTCCACTCATGTATGCTTTATGGAAAGGACCGAGATGAAGTCAGAGTGATTGCTCTCCCTGAATGGGATATTCCATGTACAAGTTGAATTTGACCCTTGACATATTTTTGCAAGTCAAACAGAAATCACATTAAAACATATCCTTCTGCAAGGCTGCCCTCTGCATAATGCAATCAATATTGTTTAATTAAAGGATGATACTATTGATTCTAATTAAGCAAAATTGCCTACCTCATTCATTTACAGTTCATATGTGGTCCTAGAGACAAGATGATTTAGTGCTCTTAATACTACTTTCCATATATAGGAGAAACATATTTATTTAAAAAAAACCCCTCGACTCCAGCACCCCTTGCCTCATATGTCATTTTTCTCTTGATGAATGGACAATTTGATGTGTATAAACATTATTTTAAAATAATAAATTATGTAAGTGGGCAATTCAAACGTGCAAACATAAGGTTTCAGAAAATTGAATTTTAAAATGTTGGAATCATTAGATTACTGCAAAAGCTCTGCAGCTATGAATGGCACACTTTAATAAAGCTTGGAGCTAATATTTTTCACTCCAAATAATCTGTCAGGAAATCGTTTCTGTGAGATGTGTGCAAGTGTTGTAGGCTGAGGTGTGCTAAAGAGAAAACCTTATGAGCATATTTATCATTTCATTTGAAGAGAGGAATCGTGGTGATATTGATACAATATGCAGTTTAATATAACCATGGAATGATTATTTATATTCTTTTTTCATGATGGGAACCAACATGTAACCAAAGATTAATGACCTTCAGTTCTCTGAAAAGCTATATTTTAATTCTCATTGGGTGATAATTTAGAGGCCACTATATATGGGAATATTTTTGTGTTAACCCCTAGGATCAGTATGGCCTTAGGATGGCTTGCTAAATCACACTTTTTTATGTTTTCCTTTTTTTCTAGGAAGGGCCATTAGACAGTAATTAGAATATTATTATATAGGCTGAAAAATATATTACCCGAGGGCTCCATGTATGATTTTGCAGAGGAGATATACTATGTATCGAAGAACTGTGAGAGTAATGGATTTGGAAGACATTAAGTATTGAGAAAATTTAAAATGAAATAAAAATAAGCAAAAGCAATGAAAAGCCTGCTGACATTTAATGAAAGCAGCGAGGTTTGTAAGTGTCATCTGGCGTACTTGATTTATTTCTGAGATAGACCTGATCTGATTTATTTTCCTAGTAACACAAGCAGATAGGCTTATAAGAATGGCTGTGTTATCATCTACATGGAAAATTTCAGCAAAGCAAATGTGGAAATTCCCAACAGCGTTTTACTGATACATAATTTGGAGCAACGCAGTTACAGAAGGTGGGCAATGTTGTGACAAATAGTACAGCATAGATTGTTTAGGCAGATACCTGGAGTACTGAGAGCTTGCCAAAAATACTGTTGTCATGCCAGAGGAGATGATATAAATTGTTTTACACAAGCCTGCTTGACTTATCGATTGTTTGAAATAAGCTTTGATCTTATAGCTAATTTTGCTGAGGGGAAAACTAGTAGTCATGCAGTAGTCAATGGAATTCAGATGAATACTTTTCCTGGAGCCCACCATTCAGTAAGGGCATGTGGGTGATTTTACTATTCATGACCCCTTATTTTAAAAGAAAAACAGAGCAATTAAAACCTATATAATGCAGTTTATATATTCCAATGTCTTTGTTGCAAAAATGCAACATCAGATATCATGTGGCTTCTCTTCAAGCCCTAAACCTGCAGGGGTGAATTTTGAAGATAGCTCAAAGACACTGGAAGCACGCCAATATCGTCAAAACTGACCAGTCTATTTATACGGCTGCTCCTGTTCTTTGGAAAGTTGAATGAATAAATTCAAGAGGAAAACAAATTTGTGACTGATAAAGGCTCTTTGGGCCCTCGAGCTGAAAGCAAAACATCCATATCTGTTATCGTTAGCTCTGTTTGAGAGTTCAGGCAGACTCGTGAGGGACTGTCTGCTCACCAGGAGTGATACTAGTCATCTGCAGTGGGTTTAATAGATAAAATAAACCAGGGCTGGTTCAGTGGCACAAGGCAACTCACACCTATATGACTTAACTCTTGTACCTTACAGGGGTGACTTCTTGCATATATTCAAGTGAGTGGGAACTGCCACCAGGTTGGTGTGTGCCATCCCTCACTGATGCCAGCAGTGGTCTGGGAGCACGGACTCTGGCCATGCCTGTGCCAAGAAGCTTGCCAGCAGTTAGCTGGCATGGATGATCACGCACTAGTGCTTGAAGCTGTGTGCTCATCCTTTTTACTTTTTAACATAGGAATAACGAGGGTCATCATAATGTTCTCGCAATTTTGTCTGTTAAATCAGGTAGAAAAGTCTTGATTCTGTCTCCTGTAGCACCTCAGGTAGATTCAAAGCAGATGATATAAAAGTGAAGCCACTGGAGAGATGAAAAACAAGGAGCTATTATCAAGAGATCAAAATAAGGGGTAAGGTACCTTGTTATGTTGCATCATGTATCTGAAAGTTTCTACTTACATATAGTCAAATAGTGTCCCCACATATACATAACTGAGATAGGCCCTCACACAGGCACAGACCAGCACATAAATTAAAGTGCTTGGTACATGAACAGAGATGGAATCCCTGTAGGAAGTGAGAGCACTGGTTTGGAGGAGGCAGTGATGTGCAGTAAACTCGCAGGTATTTGTTTGATGGAAACATTTTGCAGCATAATATGTACCTTATCTCCAATCTGGCCTCTTCTTTGTTTGCTGCCCTTGTGTCTCCTGCATGCTGCAGCCAGCTATCTGATTACAGTGATGAAGAGAGCTGCATGACACTGAATTTCAGTTGTGCATTGATCTTGCTGGGAATTAGTAAAAAAAAAAAAAAAAAAAAAAAAAAAAAAAAAAAAATCAATTGGAGCGTCTTGGTTACCAGCCAAAAAAAATAGGATGTGAGTGGCTCAGAGTTACTGTGTGATGGGTCAGCTTAACAGGTGCTCTGGATAACTGACATGACAGAACATAATGGTTATTGTGGAGAGGCAGTTATAGTATTGACAGGAACACAGAGGCATCTAGAAAAAAAAAGGAAGAAACAGATTGAGACATCCATGGTGATGGCAGAGCCAAGTGATTTTTTAACACTTTCTGAATGAAGGTCACTGAATCTTTGCCACTGGAAGGTTTGTCTGTACAGTGAATAGATACCTAATATGTTTCATTTGATAACCCAGGCCAAGTGCTTTTATGTAACCAGCCTGAGAGAATTAGAGGATAATTTGGGTAGATGAAACAAAATCCTCAGCTGTAAAAATAATAAACAAAGCACCTGGGCTAGGAAAGAACCCATTATATTTCTTATTAATTCAAAACCTTAGAACTCATTATTAAGGTGTAGATTCAATGTATCAAATCATTCTGCAGTTTATAGGTGGGCTTACAGGCTTGGCTTGCCTTGGCATGCGTGAAGAAGAAGGGAAAACTGCCAAGGGCAATTTTATCCTCTATTCCCTGGAAAGCACAGATAATGTGCATGCCTAAAGCTTAATCAGAGAGCCTGAAGGAGATCGGATCTCATCCTTCCTCCCTTGCACAACTGTCTGCTTATGCTGGGGGTAGCAGGCTGCATCATATTCATTCCACCATGTGCCCCATGATGAAGCAGCAAGGAAAATGGACACCTACCCTACACAGGACAACAAAAGGTGTAAGTCAGCAAAACACATCCACCTTCTGTCATGATTCATATATACACATTTGCGCAACTTATACACAACATAATAGAACAACTATTCTATCTCATCCCAAAGGGACTGGGTGTAACTGCCTAAAGGAAAATGTACAGAACTGTGTGCTTGTATTTATGAACTATCTCATTTTCTATACAATCTCCATAAGTACTAGGTGTTTAAATAGCAAAACTGCCTGGGGAATCTGTAGATTTCATCTACACCATGAGTCTAATGAGCACTGTCTATATCTCAGTGTGCCTCTTTTAGGGATAAGATGTAGGTGTACACCATATCTCTGTGAACTCTGGTTTCCCTTTGGAATCACGAATTGCAAGTGCACTGGAATGGAAGACTATTTTTAAGAGAAACTTTTAATTATAGGTGATAGAAGTCAAGATTTGAACTATATGTTTTCAGGTTTTTTAAAGCAGGAACTTTTGTGTTATTACTGAAATACACTGGGCCAAATTGATCTGCTGTATAACTCCCTGATTTCAGCAGAATTACAGCAGGGAGAAAACTGTCTTGTTTTGTCCAGCCAAGTGTTGAATTCCAGCCTGTTATGGTCTTTTTAGTTTGCAACAGGGTGATTTTCTCAGCAGTAGGCAGGAGATTATCTGCTTGGCTTTTCCAGAAACCTCTTTGATTTCCATGTAACAGCTGATGACCCGAGTTATATTTCCAGTCATGTTCCATGTTGGCAATTCTAAGGGCTGTGAAAAAAACCACCCTTTTTTGGTTTGCATGAGATTCAGGGCAGGAACTGAGTGAGATTTACATTTCACAGGGTGCAGTTGAGTTGCTTTATACTCCAGGCTAAGAAACCAATGCTTCCCAGTACTCTCTCATTCCCATTTCCACACGTACTTTGTACAATCATTCTGTTCTCTTTTCCCAGCTCCATATTTTGGGAGCTGCAAAAGCAGGAGGAAAGGTGTTTCCTTTCCCTCAGGTCTATTGGATGGGTGACTGACCCATCTTTTCTAGTGGATTTCAGGGAGGAGTAGGGCCTGTCAGGATATGTCCTTTTATGCTTTTCATCCACTAGATGTCTCTGATGCTGTGTAAAAATTCAGAAAAAAAAAAGGCACTTGGACCCTGGTAAACAAGAAAAACAAAGTTGGAAAATGATCATTGTGGAAGCTGTCTCTTTGTGCCATAGTTCACTGATCTTTTCTCTAATAAATAGTTATCACTTTTAAAGGTCACTCCTTATCTTTATCTCATGATAGTCACATACTCTTTTCCTTGAAGCTGTTAAGTGACTTTGAAAAATTTGTCCTTAGATTTTAGGATCTCTGAGAACCATGATTTTGAATTGATTGCAAAAATCAAGTTCATGAGACTAGGGCAGATTAATCCTTGGTTGAATTAGGTCTATGTAACTTGTGAGTAGGCACCAGAAAACTGGGATGTTTTACTGAGGGAAGAAATGTTAAGTTTAATGGGCTTCCAAATGGGAAGTTATTTGGAATATTTTCCTTTTATTTTGCTTTCTGTCTGTTTTAATAATCCTTGCACATTTGAATAATCTTACTTCAATCTATGGACTAACCTTCTAGTGACAGATCTATGAATTATTTCTGGGGATAAATTTTCTTATTTTTTTTCTGTAACTTCTAGTGCTCACAGATTATAGCATATGAGTACCAGACACTGAGAAAAAGTGTGGTTTCAGCTATGATCTTCATCCACTCTGAAGGAAATGGGAGACTTGGTTACCTGGGATATGGAGAATGCTAAGGTACTCAATGACTTTTTGGCCTCAGACTTCACAGCAAGGGCTCCAGCCACACTGCTCAAATCACAGAAGGCAAAGGCAGGGACTGGGAGAATGAAGAAACACCCACTGCAGGAGAAGATCTGGTTTGAGACTATCTAAGGAACCTGAGCGTGCACAAGCCCAGGGGACCTGATGAGATGCATCTGTGGGTCCTGAGGGAACTGGTAGATGAAGTGACTAAGCCACTATCCAAGAGAAGTTGTGGTGGGGTCTGGTGAAGTTCCCACTGACTGGAAAAGAGGAAACATAACCCCCACTTTTAAAAAGGAAAA